CCCCCCCCCCCCCCCCCCCCCAGTGTTAGCATAAGTTTATTATTCGATTACCCCTAACATTTTATTATTTAACACAATAATCAACACACCTTTAATTGCCAAATATATTATATCAAAAAAAAACAGAGAAAATTAACAAAAAGTCCAATCAAATAATATTTAAGGTCATTAAGTCCAAGAAAGACATGTTAGTGCTCTTTTTATCTTCTAATCTAATCTAATCTAATTAACGGGAATTTAAGGAGAGAGAGAGAGTGGGATGAAATAATAGAAAAAAATATACATTGGGAGAAATTTGAGGGAGAGAGGAGAGATAAAAAGTGGCGTAGAAGGCATTTCAATTGCGAAACAAAAAATCTCCTAAAATAATCCTATAGTTTTAACTTGTTCGGAGACTATAGCCCTCTCATTGTCCTTTTGGACCAAAAATTTCTTACCTTGAACCTTGTGACTTAAAAAATTGTGAGTTATAGACTCGTGGTCCCTTTTTTCAGGAAAATAATACCTAAAATACTGACAATTTTTTTTTTTGTTGTTCATACTTATTTTTCACTAAAATAAAATTAAAACTCTCTTTGTTTCTTGTTTGCTTTTCTCGCACATGTACACTATCCTACAATAACACATACAAATTGTCACACCCTTGATCCCTATTAACCTTGGTAGCACTTTTTTTTTTAATAGTGTGGTTGAATCAGTTTACGTATAATTCGACTAATTTATTCTCCAGTTCGGTCAAAGACATGCTATCTACAACGGGACAAGGGTATTCATGAAGAATAATTCTTTCGTGGTCTAACTCTAAATGATTGTTAAGATTTGAACTCAAAACGTCTGAATTTACTGTTCGCATTTGTTATCACTTGAAGTACCCTTAGAGTTGTTGATAGCATCTTTCCCATCACGAGCATCCTCCTCTGGGCCCTTCCCTCGCAAATCTTTCCCTTTCCTCCCCTTACCCTAAGTCACAAACACACCCACAACACCGCCATTACAATGCCACCACCACAAGATCACTAATCCCCCTCCCCCTCCCCCCAAAAAAAAAAAAGTTCAAAGTAAAAAAAAATTCCAAGATCACTACCTTTTTTCCCCCAGGTTCAAAATAAACATGAATTTCCATTACACATACACACACTCTTTCTCTCTAATAAATTGTGAAATTATAATTAAAGCATGAACCCAATCCAAAGCCTTAAGGAGCAGTTATAACAACACTATTCTTTGATGGTAAGTATTCGTTTAACCAAATTCGAGCCAATTAAATTATCCACTAGCTTCACAAATTCGAACCAAATCACCTCATTGTGGATTTGGGTGTGTTTGGGGAGGGGGAAAAGGGCATTGGGTTTGTTTCCCATGGAAAGGGGAAGCAGCTGCAAGAGGTTTAAACTGTTTATAATTTTCCATTAATTTCTTTAATTAATCATAAATTTTGATATTATTCCGGTTTTGTGCATGATTAATTTGGCTAATGGCAATTCTTTTAATTGCAATCTTAATATGCGTCGCTGAAGAACAATATTTGATCTGCCAAAGCAAAAATAGAGTCACTTTCTATTGTATTGACTCTTCATTGTTACACGTATAGAAAAAAAAAGTGACATTCAAAGGAAACGAGAGAGAGAGAGAGAGAGAGAGAAGCTTTATCAGCCCCATGATAGTTGTTATTTCACTACTCCATTTATTGTCTAGAGTTGACATGTAATTAATGGACCCCTGTGTCGTTATTCTTTCTGCTACTAGTTGCTTCATTGGGGTTTCAAATACTTCAGCCTGTATGAGAGAGAGAGAGAGAGAGAGAGAGAGAATCAGTAACTGGTAACATGAATATATAAATATACCTATGTATGGCCACTGCTCACAAAGATTTCAAATTGCATGCAGAAAGAACCTCCTGGTTACTTGTTTTTTTTTCTGATATCTCAGTTATCCCAATATATTATCGCAGTAGTCGTTCACATACCGGACTAATGCTGATCTTTGGCTCTCCACACAAAAAGATAAATTTATGAACGGCGGCCTCAAGAGACTATTCTTTGTAGAATATTTGATTTCTTTAACTTATTTTTCATGAGAAGTTTATCTGGTAGTTAGCTACCAACTAGACTAACCCCTGGGGGTTACCTGGTTACTGGTTTGTCAAGACATTAGAAGCAGGTTTTTTTTGCTTATGAAAGCAAGTAATTAAATGGTTTCTGCTTCGGACGATGCATTATAAGTATTTACGGATTGACACCCAAGCAGAACAGCAATTGCCGGTTTACACCCCCAATGCAAATATACTCATCAAAACGGGTCACAATTTTTATGTTCATTACCTCTGTTCCTCATCCATGACTTTGCATCCGTTGCTGCTGCCGCCTCCACTTGCTTTGTAATTGGGCAATGGTACTTTGCCGGACTCGATGTGCTCGACATCTTCCACAAGCATCTCATAGTGCCTCTTCACCTCCTCCACAGTCTTCCCACCAACCGCCCTTGCCAAATTGTGCCACCGGTCGGGCGTGTCCTTGTCGTAGGTGGCTAATGCATTCTCGAACAGCTTGTTCTGCTTGGCGGTCCATGTTGAATTCGACGCCATTTCTGTATATTTGCAAAGGGCTACTACTGTCTAGAAACAGAAATGGGGGAGAGGAGATTATCAAAATGGTGTGTGCAAAGAAGTGTGGCATGGCTGCTATATATATAGCACCAGGAGGACAGGCAGAAGACAGAGTGGGGCTAGGCCGGTGGGGATGCTTTTCTCGCAGCTGGATGTTGCTTTCCTTACAATTAAGGGAAAATTAAAGCAAACAAAAGGGATAATTATTATATCACCCCTTATAATTTTTGATATTTTCACTGCAAATATTTTCGTTTCTAAAATTACAATCAAACTCTTGAAATGTGACCACTTACAAGAGATTCACTCCCCTCAACTAATGGATGATTGATGGACAGAGTTGTACATGATTATACAAGCAAATTTGGTGCATGAACTACCCATTTTCTCCAATTCAAAAAACCCACGATTAATCAAAATTCTTCATAAAACTTGTTTACAAATCTAACTTAATGACTTATAATCTAAAAGAGTTGTTAAGATTTAAATTCAAAAAATCTGGATTTATACCTCGTAAAAACAGGTTATTTTGCAGACAAGATTAATCAGCAAGAAACATAACCCAGACAGGCTTCTCGCTGTCCGAGAAAAGTTGATACCCATTCCCATTTTCACCATCGCAACTCCTAATTCATACCGTAAAAACGTCTCATCAGTGGGCTCAGATCGAAACCACGGCCAATCCAGCGGCGGTGCTGGAAAAGTTCACGTGCACAGCATGGCCCAGTTCCCATTTTTTTTCTACCTTTTACAGAGCGATTGCAAGCTGTGCCTGGCGATGAAAAGCACTTATTACTTAATTCTTTGTTTTATGTGTGTTTCTTGTTTATGCCTAATCTTAAACGTGACTGAAGAAACTTAACGTTTTTTTTTTTATTTTTTACTATTAAAAATGATCAGACTAATTTACATGTACCTCAACTAAGTACAACTTGTTCACGTGCTGGGACTAAAAATTTTATTGACTTGACTCTAAGAAAGTTGTCACTCAGCTCGTCCCCATCTTTGAGCTACCCCCGGGTTACCCTATTTTTTTCGCTATGTTCTCAACGACATTCCACGTCATTTTTAGCTGGCTGGAAAAGTCCGTACGATGGTAATTGTACGTCTTTCTCAATAAGTCAATTTGTGCATCTCTGTCTCACTGACTTTTTTGATTACTTTAGGTTTTCTGCTTGAACATCTCCTTGTTTATTGTATCATATTTTAAATTGTTTATAACCATCACAATAAAGATTGATATTTTGTGCTATGCTTTTATCAGTTTCCTTGCTATAGGGATGCTGTGCTGGAGGCAAAAAAAGAAGATGATAAGCTTTGTTGGTAACTCAACTCGACAAAACCATATTCTAATTATATAGGGTCGGGTAAGAATTGGTGTTTACCATTTGTTTTACAGTTGGTAAGCAATGCTGCATATGGTTGAATTCCTCTCATTAGTAACAACTAAAACAAAATCTGTTTATAGCATAGTTCCTCCCTAGTGAGCTTGCAATGGCTGTTATTGTTATGCTAGTGGACCATTCATTGAGTTATCCTTAAGCAATGTACTGTAGATAACTATCTATGGTACCGAAAGTACAACTTGGTGGAATGTCTCTTGCTTCCAGATGAAGGAGAGCCAGTCTGGTCTTTTGGCCAAATATTAGAATCTTCTTTCTTTTCATTCTTGAGTCGAAAATTTTGGGTTCTTCCATTCAGGGTGGGTGCAAATCTGTGAGGAATTTGCTTGAAAACTGATACTTGGTGCATGATCATCGTGTGGCTAACATTAGAACCCTTATCATCCACGTAGATTCCTGGTAGATGCTCAACAAATTGGATACCTGTCCTTTCTCTATCACACGCTTTTAGACCATTTCTCTTTCCCCCTTGGGATTCTATGGCAACTTGAAGCTGGTTCACATTGGGATTCTATCATGTAAGAAATGTGTCTGAACGGATTTTTGGCAATTGAAACTCAAAGCGTTTAGTCAGATTGAATTGGTGTAAATGGGCAATAAGTAACTTTTTATGAGACAATTAGCAAAAGAGACTAGTCGGAACATTAATAATGTAGACCAGAGAATCAACCATAATGTTGTCGATACTGAGAATTGATGAACAGTTAATAGGAGGTGGATATGACTCGCCAGTCGCCAGTCGCCAGTGACCTGCAAAATAAAAGAGTGTTTAGGCTTCTGAAAGTGTGCCTTTAAGCTGTGAGAGATCTGCTTTTATATAAAGTTTTGTGGAACAGATTGTGAGTAGATCTGTAGAAGAGATTGGAGTAACTGATGCTAATCTTTAGAAAAGATAAGTGTAACAAACGCGCCTTTACTGATAATCAAATTCCTACATCAACAATTGTTATTGCTAATCTGTTGTTAGTCATGCCTAGACCAGCTTTTAACATTTGAAGACTAGTATGTCCTCTTGAATTATAATGACAAGCACACTGGACACATATGATTGTTTTCTGATACTGAGTTTTCAACTTTGTTGGGGAACATTTTTGAAAGTTGATACTTTTGAGATACATAATGCTACTGATATTTAGATTCCTTATCATCCATACTCACTTCCAGAACAGATTCCTCTATAGATACCCATTCTTTTTCAAACGCTTTGAATATCCGCTTAGGATTTTACCTCATAGGGCAGAAGCAAAAAAGCCATATTCTTTTAAGAGAATGACTATGATACGGAACTGATGGAGCTTTTCTGAAATACTCCATGATGAAGACACGTGTCCTCGATATTTACCAAAATACTGTTGCTAAGATCAAGCACCATCGGCGCACAAAGGTCCTCGCCCCCGAGGTACTCGTCATATAGGATCATGGCATTCAGTATGAGTTACAACCAACACGTAGCCTCGGTCTGATATGGTACCTCGGTTCCGAGATGAGCCTTTCCTCGGTGCCGAGAGGTACCCCGTCCTCGACGCTTTCTCTACTGCAGAATAAGTTATTGACGTACAGGTCATTAGCCTAGGCTAGTCTAGGCTATTCATTATGACCTCGTCTTACACAATTAGTGTCAGAACGTACTNTCCTCTACTCCAGGATAAGCTATTGACGTACAGGTCATTAGCCTAGGCTAGTCTAGGCTATTCATCATGACCTCGTCTTACACAATTAGTGTCAGAACGTACTGGAATGCAGGGGCCACAGCCAATGGGGGATGAACGCGTGGCGTATGATATCACATCGAAGACAGAGAAACCGCATGCCGCTGCTGACACGCGATTTGGGAAAGCAAACGATTAATTACACCATTCCCTTGATGAGACCGCATTCAATGCGGTAAGGCTCGGAAATGAAAGACAATAAATGCTCCTAATACAGAGCATTTATTGCATCCTCCCCGAGAGGAGTACATTGTACCGTCGGCATCCCGATGACGCAGCATTGATTGCTCGGGACCCCGAGCAGTTAAGAAGAGAAGACATTCCTCATCAGAATCAGTGCGCACACTGCCTGTACCTAATGATCACCTACTGACTACACTGACAGCAATCATGAGCTTTTGAGGTATAAATACTCCTTGCAAAAGGCAAGACGGGTATGCAACAAAAAACTCTTTACTACAATACACACTCAGTGTTTTCTCCTTCCTCTCTGTTTCTCAAAGACTGATCAGATCGTCGGAGGGGATACGCTGGAAAACACTCCGGCGCCCTTCTAACTTGTTCTTCTTTGTTCCAGGAACCTCTTTCAGCCTTACTGGATCGTTCTTCCGCTCCCCCAGGGTCTCCCGTTGCCGTTCCAGGTTACCACCGGACCTCGCAGGCTGTTCCAAGCAGCGTGGTTGGTCACTTAACTGGCTCACTCGAGTTCACCAAGGGAGAGATCTGTTCTCATTTTTTATATTGTACAGGATCTTGCACGCACAATCTGACGTCGTCTGTGGGAAATGACTAGTTTTTCTAGTTTTTTCTCTATAAAGAACAGTGACCATGGTGAACACTCGACAGAAAGGGAAAGGCCCCCACCAAAGGAGTCTCGAGTTACAAGCTCCCTGTCATCACGGAGGAAGGGATCACACCGATATGAATAAAAGTGCCTCTACTCGGTCAAGAGGGGTTACCCCTCAAACCAGTATGGGAATCAGGTCAGGGGGATCAGCCCCCTTGGCTCGTCAGCTGGCGGAGGTGATTGAAGAAAAGTTCGGCAATAGATTACGACAGCTGGAAAAGGACAATGTAAACGTCCTAAGCCAGCTCAACGAGTTTGTCGCCTCTAGCGAAGGATCGAGGGATTCATTCCTTTCTCGTGGGCTTCCCGCCCGGGAGGTGGAAACGAAGGATCTAAGAAACCACCTAAACAACAAAGCAGAAAGCTCTAGGGCCCNGGAGGCGGAAACGAAGGATCTAAGAAACCACCTAAACAACAAAGCAGAAAGCTCTAGGGCCCCAAAGCGACCCAGAGCCGGCGAGCATCATCATGACAACCATTCAAGGAAAGCAAGACCATTGGCCCTGGACGACCTCTGGCGAGGTTTGTCTAAACGGAGGAAGGGAAATGAATCCGAGGAGGATTCAACCCAATCCACACGACGCCCAGGAAATGAGGGGCTTACCGATGAACTCAAGGACTTCAGAAGGCATCCCGTCAGGGAAGAAATTGATCTCAGAGCCCGGTTAGACTCCAGGAGAAAGGGTAAGGCTGTCCAGGATGAGGCCGAGGACGAAGTCATACAAACACCCTTTACGAGGGAGATC